GGGAAGAGAGAGAGAGAGACAGAGAGAGAGAGAGAGAGAGAGAGAGAGAGAGATAGGTCTTCCATCCACTAGTCCACTCCCCAACTGGCCGCAATGGCCGGAGTTGTGCTGATCTGAAGCCAGGAGCCAGGAGCTGCTTCTGGGTCTCCCACACGGGTTCAGGAGTCCAAGGACTTGGGCCATCTTCCACTGCTTTCCCAGGCCACAGCAGAGAGCTGGATTGGAAGTGGAACAGCTGGAACTTGAACCGGTGCCCATATGGGACGCTGGCACTGCCGGTGGCGGCTTTACCTGCTATGCCACAGCAGTGGCCCTGAAGTCTTTTTTTTTTTTTTAAGAATTATTTATTTATATGAAGGTCAGTGAGAAGGAGAGGAAAAGAGAGAGAGAGACAGAGATCTTTCATCCATTGGTTCACTCCCTAGATGGCTGCATTAGCTGAGGCTGGACCAGGCTGAAGCTAGGAGCCAAGACCTTCTTCCAAGGTCTCCCATGTTGGGTACAGGGGCCCAAGGATTTGGGCCATTCTCAACTGCTTTTCTCAGGCCCTTAGCAGGGAGCTGGATCAGAAGTGGAGCAGCTGGGACATGAACATGCCTGCGTATGGGATGCTGAAGTTGCAGGCAGCAGCTTTACCTGCTACGCCACAATGCCAGCCCTTAAGAAGTTCTTGTACATTCTCCTGGTTTACATAAGCATTCCTTTTGACTACATTTCTAAGAGTGGAATTGCTGGTTCACATAGTACACGTAGTTTAAACCTTAGTAGCTTACAACACTCTTTAAAGTGATGTGCCAATTTATTTTCCCATTAGTAACATATGAGAGTTTCTATGTTCTCCTCTTTGCCAAACCTTGATCTTGTCAAATTTAAAAGTTTTTGACAATCTCATGATTATATTCTGATACGTCATTCTAAAATTATTTACTTGAGAGTCAGAGACAGATATACACTTAAAGTCCTTTTTTTTTTTTTTTTTTTTTTTTGAGAGGCAGGAAAAGAGAGAGAGTTCTCCTACCTACTAGTTTACCCTCAAATGCCTGCAGTGGCCAGGACTGGGCCGAGGGCCAAAACCAGGAGCCAGCAATACAATGCAGGTCTCCCACATCGGTGCCAGGAACCAATTACTTGAGCCATCACCTTCCCTTCCCAGGGTCTGCATTAGCAGGAAGCTGGAATCAGGAGCTGGAACCAGGAATTGAACCCAGGTACTGTGATGTGGGACACCAGCATCTTAACCAGCATCTTATCAGCTAGGCCAAACTCTTCCCTCATTTTCCTTTTAACTTTTCCTAATAATAACAAAGTTGTATGCCATTTCATATATTTATTAACTATTTGATTTTCCTCATCTGTGAAGTAGCTAAGTATGTCTTTTGCCAATTTGTCTTGTGGTATTGCATACCTATCTCTCACTGATCTGTAGGATATTCTTTATATATTCTGAATACTAACCCTTTGCAGGTTATATATATTGCATATATCATATAATCAATAGCTTCTGGTTTTATTTGTTGATGACCAAAATTTATTCATTTCAGTGAAGTCAGACTTATCAGTCTTCTTTCATGGGTGGTGTGTTTTATATCTTGTTTAAGAAATCCTTCCTGGAGTAGGAATTTGGTATAGTGGTTAGGATACTAGTTGGTACATCCACATCCCATATAGGAGTCCCTGGGTTTGAGTACCATCTCCATTCCTAATTCTAGCTTCCTGCTAATGCATAGCCTGGGAAGCAGCAGGTGATAGCTCAAGTAGTTGGGTACTGCCACCCATATGGGAGACCTAGATTAAGTTCCTGGCTTCCGGCTTCAGCCTGGCCCAGCCCTGGCCATTGCGGGCGTTTAGGGAGAGTGAACTAGTGGATAGGAGTTCTTTCTCTCTCTCTCAAATGTCTCTCAAAACAAACAAACAAAAAGAGAAGTAAAAAGAAACATTTTGGGGCCAGCGCTGTGGTATAGCAGGTAAAGCTGCCACCTGCAGTGCTGGCATCCCATGTGGGCGCCAGTTCAAGTCCCGGCTGCTCCTCTTCTGATCCAGCTCTCTGTGATCGCCTGGGAAAGCAGTAGAAGATGACCCAAGTCCTTGGGCCTCTGCACCCGTGTGGGAGAACTGGAAGAAGCTCCTGGCTCCTGGCTTCAGATCAGGTCAGCTCTGGCCATGGTGGTCATTTTGGGAGTGAACTAGCAGAATGGAAGACTTCTCTCTCTGGCTCTACCTTTCACTGTAACTCAAATTTCAAAGAAATAAAATATTCTAAAAAAATTGTTAAAAACTAAAAGAATGAAAAACTATTAGGTAACTTAAAAAATTTCTTTGTTCAAAGATTGTGAATACACTTTCCACTATTTCCTTATAAATTTAGATCTTTGGGGCTGGTTCTGTGGCATAGCAGGTAAAACCACTGCCTGCAGTGCTGGCATCCCATATAGGTTCTGGTTCGAGTCCTGGCTGTTCCACTTCTGATTCAGCTCCCTGCTAATGTGCCTGGGAAAGCTGCAGAAGACGCCCCAAGTCTTTGGGTCTCTGCAACCACATGGCAGACTGGGAAGAAGCTCCTGGCTCCTGGCTTCAGCCTGGCCCAATCCTGGCCATTGTGGCCACTTGGGGAGTGAATTAGCAGATGAAAAATCTCTCTGTCTCTTCTTCTCTCTTCCTCTCTGTAATTCTGCCTTTCAAATAAATAAATAAATCCTTAAAAAATACAATAAAATGTAGACCTTTAATCCTCCTGAAATTTATTTTTGTGATGTAGGTGTTTTTACATAAATTTTTTCACTTAAATTTTTATGTACATCTTTTCAGTCAATGCATAATGATTTTTTTTTTTGACAGGCAGAGTGGACAGTGAGAGAGAGAGACAGAGAGAAAGGTCTTCCTTTGCTGTTGGTTCACCCACCAATGGCTGCCGGGGCTGGTGCACTGCGGCCGGTGCACCGCGCTGATCCGAAGGCAGGAGCCAGGTGCTTCTCCTGGTCTCCCATGGGGTGCAGGGCCCAAGCACTCGGGCCATCCTCCACTGCACTCCCAGGCCACAGCAGAGAGCTGGCCTGGAAGAGGGGCAACCGGGACAGAATCCGGCGCCCCGACCGGGACTAGAACCTGGTGTGCCGGCGCCGCAAGGCGGAGGATTAGCCTAGTGAGCCGCGGCGCTGGCTTCAATGCATAATGATTTGCTTCATCATAATTTTTGACAGCTACAGATGTGCAGTTTGCTTTGTTGAACATTTTTACCCATTTTTCAACATAAATATTGTTATAATTTATTATCATATATGCATCTTTTAAAAATATTTATTTATTTATTTGCTTTATTTATTTATTTATTTTAAAGGCACAGATCTCCAGTCCCCTGGTTCCCTCTCCAAATGTCTACTATAGCTGGGACTGGGCCAGGTCAAAGCTAGGAGCTTGTCACTCAATCCAGGTTTCCCACTTCCCACCTGGAAGTATTTCCCAAATACTTGCACCATCACCTACTGCCTCCCAGATTGTGTATTGGCAAGAAGGTGGAACTGGAAGTGGAGCCAGAACTCAAACCCGGGTACTCTGATATGGGATGCAGCTGTAGGTGTCCCACGTGGAATCTTAGCCACTGAGCCAAATACCCATCCCTTTTGCACATATATCTTTTGAGTACTCATGCTTGTATTCTATAGTTGAAATTTCTTGAAGTGAGATTACTGTGTCAAAATGTGTACTCATTTATAATTTTTGTAGTTACTGTCAAATTTACTGTCTTTTTGAAAAAATTTTCCAAATTTCTTTTTTTTTTGTCCTTTCCTCTGCCCCCCATCAAAAGCTTGACAAATTTATTTTCTATCAACAGTATATATAAGGATTCTGGCTTATTCCATTCCTTGTAATATCACAATATCAGTTTATTATTTGCCATTTTTTGTATGATACTTAAAAACTGCTGAACCAGGGAGTAGTCCAATTCTTTTTGACACTGATACTGATGGTCATCTTCAGAGATCAATGGGCAGGTCCCCAACAGCCCATGTGCCTCCACTCAGACACTCAGTGAGATTCTTTTTTTTTTTTTTTAATTTTTTTGACAGGCAGAGTGGATAATGAGAGAGACAGGGAAAAAGGTCTTCCTTTTACCATTGGTTCACCCTCCAATGGCTGCTGCCACCAGTGTGCTGCGGCTGGCGCACCGCGCTGATCCAAAGGCAGGAGCCAGGTGCTTCTCCTGGTCTCCCATGGAGTGCAGGGCCCAAGCACTTGGGCCATCCTCCACTGCACTCCTGGGCCATAGCAGAGAGCTGGACTGGAACAGGAGCAACTGGGACAGAATCCAGCGCCCCGACCGGGACTAGAACCCAGTGTGCCAGTGCTGCAGGTGGAGGATTAGCCTATTGAGCCACGGCACCAGCCACTCAGTGAAATTCTATAAAATTCAGGAATTTGGTTAAGCCATTCTTGTACCTGGAGAATTGTATCCTGCCTTTCTCATTCTTCCCCTTTCTCCACAAGTTGACACCAAGTAGAAAGGGTTGAGATGTGTGCCTACCTAGTCTTCTATTCATCCCTCCTCTTTATTCTCAACCCCTGCTTCATCCCTGTGATTCCACAAGGGTGACTCTGGTTTATGGAGACCATCCCTTAACACTTACTGGTTTTCTTCACCGTGCCTTTGAAGTGATCACAGGGACAGTGCTTCTTTGGCAGCCTAGGCACTGTCATGAGTTTTCTTTTCGGGGCTCTCAGGAACCAACCTGAAATAACAGATAACCCTGCTCAGACAGGAGAGTTAACACATTTGAGTAGGGGGGAGGTAGGGCTTTCCTTGCCATCTCCCATGTCTTCACTTCCTCTCTCATCCCACAGCAAGCTGTGAAAATGGGTCAACACAGAAGAGAGGGGACTTACATCTGTTTGAACACCAAGATCTCCAAGTTGTTTTTCCTGACCTATGTGGCAGACGTAGAGGGGGTATCAGGATATCATCGGCAAGACTGAAGAATGGAAAGCCACACCTAAGTGTGTTTTAGTGGCTGCTTTACCTTGGACAGCCATCTTGCCTCTCTGCTTTCATTCTTTCCTGTGAGGAAAATAGGGCTGAGAATAGGGTTCAGAAAGCTTTTGGAAAGCAGCCCTGGTTCTCAGGAAAAAGGTTAATTTGGGTTGGGGGAAGCTTGAGATTCAGTTGGTTCTCCTGCAGACCCTGGAGGAGTTTAGTTCTTGCCTGAGACTCAATAAGGAAGCAGGCATTGGTGTTGAACACGGTGACTGGTGGAGAGGGGGTGGATGATGTCAGCTCAGATAACATCTGCAATGGTCTCAGAGGGGCTCAAGGGAGAGAGTCAGGGTCATGGTGATGCCATCGTTGTTGTTGATGCAGAGTTACTGACCTTTGCACTCACATTCTTGGCCATCTTCCCAGAGCCACCTCCCTGAAGTTTGGCGTTGGTCCCCATGGCCTCTGGCGACCCCTGTTGGAAGGAACCATTTCACTTGCGGGCACCAGTAAGCGAAGAGACCAACAGAAATGCCCCCTAGCACTATGCTACCTAGGCTAGCACGGGTCAGTTTCTCCTTTTCACTTCAGGAATCTAGGTTACTTCAAAAGAGGAATATTTGGGTGGGTGTGTGGTGCAGCACTTAAGCCTCTGCTTAGGATTCCCGCATGCGTATTGGAGCGACTGTTACGGTCCTGGATCCTCCTCTTCAGATCCAGCTTCCTGCTAAGGTACACCCTTTCAAGTAAAATGAAAATTTAAAGAGAGAGAGAGGTGCTGGTATTGTGGTGCAGTGGATTAAGCCACCACCTGCAACACCCACATCCCATATGAGTGCCACTTCTGATTTAGCTTGCTGCTAATGTTCCTGGGAAAGCAACAGAAAATGGCCACTGCCAGCCACGTGGGAGACCTGGAGGGAGTTCCAGGCTCCTGGCTTCAGCCTGGCCCAACCCTGGACCATTGCAGCCATTTGAAGAGTGAGCCAGCAGATAGAAGACCTTACTCTCCTTTACTTTTTTAAAGATTATTAAAGGTAGGTTGAGAGAGAGAGGGAGGGAGGAGAGAGAGAGAGAGAGAGAGAGAGAGAGAGAGAAATAGAGGGAGTTTTAAACGGCTAAAGAAATGTGGCCTAGGGGCAGTGCTGGAATCCAATATGGGCGCCGGTTCAAGTCCTGGCTGCTCCTCTTCCAATCCATCTCTCTGCTATGGCCTGGGAAAGCAGTAGAAGATGGCCCAAGTATTCGGGCCCCTGCACCCGCATGGGAGACCCGGAGGAAGCTCCTGGCTCCTGGCTTCAGATCTGCTCAGCTCTGGCTGTTGCGGCCATCTGGGGAGTGAACCAGCAGATGGAAGACCTTTCTCTTTCTCTCTCTCTTCTCTGTCTGTAACTCTACCTCTCAAATAAATAAAATCAAATCTTTAAAAAAAATGTGGCCTAGAGAAAAGCTTAGCTGAAAGTAAATGGAGAAAGAATGGCTTTTGGATGGAAGAGAGGACAAAGTAGGGAATTTATTAAGAACTTACACCACCACCCTCCAATGAAATCCTCACGACTTAAGGAGAAAGAGAAAGGAGAAGATCACTCTATGAGCCAAGATTTTCACCTGACTCCAAGTTGCTCTGTCAAATTTGCAATCTTCATTCAGCCATAAGAGGTTGGCATTTATCATTGTTCCTCTGGAACAAATATAATCCTTTTGGCCTCTGTCTAAGCCTGTTTTATTATCTTATTCTGTCTTATCTCCATTTTGCAATACCTAAAATATTTTCATGGCAACCAAGGATGGTGGTTTGTACACTTGAGTTCCTCAAGCTAGAACTGGACTTCTCCTGTGTGTAGCAGTTTCTTTCATTTTTTTAAAATTTATTTGAAAGTCAGAGTTACACAGAGAGAGGAGAGGCAGAGAGAGAGAGAGAAAGAGAGAAAGAGAGAAAGAGAGAGAGGTCTTCCATCTGACGGTTCACTCCCCAATTGGCCGCAACAGCCGAAGCTACGCCATCTGAAGCCAGGAGCTTCTTCCAGGTTTCCCTCGCGCGTGCAGGGGCCCAAGAACTTGGGCCATATTCTACTGTTTTCCCAGGCCATAGCAGAGAGCTGGACAGGAAGTGGAGCAGCCAGGTCTCGAACCAGCACCCAAGTGGGATGCCAGTGCTTCAGGTCAGGGCGTTAACCCGCTGCTCCACAGCACCGGCCCCATGTGTGTAGTAGTTTCTGATGTTTCCTGTCAGAATTTATTATGTCTTAATGTGATTCCTATCCTATATGAACATAGCTCTCTTATTGCACATTTATATTTTATTGCTGGAAATCTGTCATGGACCAGATTGTGTGCCCCCAAAGTCACACATTGAAGCCCTAATCCCCAGTACCTCAGAAAAGGGCTTGTGAAGAGGTGGTTCGGTTAAAAGGAGGCTATTGCGTTGAGCCCTAATCCATTCTGACTGGTGTCCTTATAAGAAGAGGAGATTTAGACACACAAAAAAGACCCCAGAAGTGTGTGTAGGCAGAGGAACAACCATGTGAGAATATAGCAAGAAGGCTACTGTTGTGGACTGAATGTGTCCCCCTAAAAGCTGCATGTTGAAAGCGAACCCCTAATGTGACAGTATTAGGAGACAGGGCCCTAATTATGCCAAAAGGTGGAGCCCTCGTGCATGAGACTAGTGCCCTTGTGAAAGGGGCCCCAGAGAGCTCGGTCCTGGTCTTTCTGGCATATAAAGACGCGGGAGAAGCCAGGTGTCTGCAACAGCACACAGGTCACCACCTGACCACGGCCCAGTCACGCTGATACTCTGATCTTGAACACCCCACCTCCAGAACTGTGGGGGATGTACTTCTGTTGTTTATAAGCCGCCTGGTCTGTGCTGTGCTACTTTGTTGTATCAGCGCCATACCAAGGCAGTGGCCATTTGCAAGTCAAGGAGAGAGGACTTAGATGAAACCAGACCAGTCTGTGGCCATGTCACACTCAACATGCCTGTTCTTGTCTGGTCTCAGAAGCCAAACAAGGTTGTGCCTGGTTAGTACTTGGATGGGAGAAGAAAGCAAACCTGAAGACACCTTGTTCTTGGGTTTTCAGCTTCCAGGACTGTGAAGAATGCGTCCCTCCTGTTTAAGCCACCAGTCTGTGGTATTTTGTTACAGCAAATGAAATGAAAGCCGTATCTTTCTCCCTCACTAGACTCTGAAGGACTGGTTCAGTGATCATTCAGCCTCATGGTTCCTGGCACGTGGTAGCATTTGATGGATGTTTGTTCAGTGAGTGGTTGGGCGAGTTGTTGTTTGGAGAGGGCTCTCAAGATCATCTGGTTCAACTGAGGTCTCCTGTTTCCCCGACTCGTGCCCTTTCTGCCACTCAGATGGAGGGCTTGCACCATCTCCGCAAGTGCTAGTGTTCAGATGTTCTCATGTGTTGTTTTCAGTGCCATTAAAATAATTTAAAGAGGTGTAACCCCTGCCACTACACTTTTCTAACATTTTGTTCTTGCTTGACCTCCACCCATTTCCAGAGAAAAGCCACAGAATATTAGAGCCAAAGGATTCTTGGTGATTATGAAGCTGAATCCCTTAACTGATACTTTTCTTCTTTCTAAATATAATCTCAGTATATTGGAGAAAATTTTGAAAATAGAAGGAAATCATTATTTTTACCAACTATTGGTATTTTGGCATATTTGTTGCCTGCACAGGTTTTTCTCTATATGGTGATTACCATAGTATGTGAACAGATTACTTAAAAAAAAAAAAAGATATATTGATTGATTTGAAAGGCAGAGTTACAGAGAGAGAGCCATCTGCTGGTTCACTTTCCAAATGGCTGCAGTGGCTGGAGCTGGGCCGATCCTCCCACATGGATGCAGGGGCCCAAGGACTTGGGCCATCCTCCACTGCTTTCCCAGGCCATAGCAGAGAGCTGGATCAGAAGTGGAGCAGCCGGGACTCGAACCGGCGCCCATATCGGATGCCGGCACTGCAGGCGGTGGTTTTATCCACTACACCACAGCGCCGGCCCTGTGAACGGATTTCTTTTGTTTCCCCACTTCATAAGCATGTTACTGTCTTTTCATAATGTTAAAATTTTTAATTTTCATTTTTTTGAAAGAGAGAGAGAGAGAGAGACAGAGACAGAGACATATCTTCCATCTGCTGGTTTACTCCCCAAATGCTTGCAACAACCAGGGCTGGGCCAGGTGAAAAACAACAGCCCAAAACTCAATCACTATCTCCCGTCTGGGAGCCAGGAACCCAAGTATTTAAGGCATCACCTGCTGCTTCCCAGGGAGTACATTAGCAGGAAGTTATTAGAAGTAGAGGAGTTGGGCCGGCGCCGCGGCTCACTAGGCTAATCCTCCGCCTTGCGGCGCCTGCACACGGGGTTCTAGTCCCGGTCGGGGCGCCGGATTCTGTCCCGGTTGCCCCTCTTCCAGGCCAGCTCTCTGCTGTGGCCAGGGAGTGCAGTGGAGGATGGCCCAAGTGCTTGGGCCCTGCACCCCATGGGAGACCAGGATAAGTACCTGGCTCCTGCCATCGGATCAGCGCGATGCGCCAGCCACAGCTTGCCGGCCACGGCGGCCATTGGAGGGTGAACCAACGGCAAAGGAAGACCTTTCTCTCTGTCTCACTGTCCACTCTGCCTGTCAGAAAAAAAAAAAAAAAAAAAAGGTGAAGGAGGGGAAACTCAAGCTGACACTCTAATATGGGATGCAGGTGTCCCTAGTGGTGACTTAACTGCTGCGCCAAATGCCTGCCCCCATAGCATTTTTAGTGATCGTATAACACTCCCTCCAAGTATATGTGTTCTAACTTATTTATGTTTTCCTTTGAATATTTAGATTGTTTTATTTTGAGACACAGTATTAATCAATTTCTTTGTTCTTATAAATGTTTTTCATTTTCTTAGGGGAGAGTTCCCAAAGTGGAACTACTGGATCAAAAGTTAAGAACAGTTTTGTGGGGCCAGCATTGTGGTATAATGGGCTAAGCCTCCATCTGGGATACTAGCATTCCATATGGATGCCAATTGGAGTCTAAGCTGCTCCACTTCCAATCCAGTTTCCTGCTGATGTGCCTGGGAAAGCAGGGGATGAAACTCCTGGCTCCTGGCTTCAGCCTGGATCAGCCCTGGCTGTTATGGTCATTTGGGAAGTGAAACAACAGATGGAAGATTCTCTGTCTCTCTCTCACTCTGTCTCTCTCTCTTTCTTTCTCTCTCCCGGTAACTCTGCCTTTCAAATAAATAAAAATAAAAAAAGGGGACAGTTTTGTGTTTCTTGATGCTATTATCAAATTGCTTTCAAAAGAAGTCTTAGTTAAATTGCTCTCTTTTTCTCTCTCTCTTAGTTCAGAAATGGAAGCCCAGAGAGATCAAATGAAATGTCCAAGTTCATAAAGGTAATGATGACACATCTAGAGTTAAAACCTGTCTAGGTCCAAGATCCTTAATCTGTTGTTTTTTCTGCAGTCATACGTGACTCTGATTTCCTGGGCGAGCCTGAGAAGGAATCTACACAATACTAGAGTGTTATGTGTCCTAATCCTCAAACACTCACGGGCTATCTTTATGAATTTTTTCCTGCCTCTATTATTATTTACTTCATACTTTTTATCTAAATTTATTTTACAAAACGCCATCACTCTATGCAGTATTATATCTGAAATAAGTTTGATGTATACTAAGATTTTTTTCCTAACATGCAATTAAAATAAACATGTAACTACTAAAGTGAAAAAAAAGCTAAACTATGTTCCACTGAAAATACATTTTAGGAAACACTGATGTGTAGTATAAGCATGGACTTTATATTCAGATACGTGTGGAGTCAACTACTGGCTCTGTGGCTTACCTAGGTTGTCTTGGACATATCACTTAGCCTCCTTGATCTTTGATTCCCTGATGTGTAATCTGAGACAGTAATGTCTCCCTCACAGGACTTTAGGAGCTCCAGTGGGTACCTAGTGCCCAGGCAGGCAATGAGTACATGATGCTACCTCTGTGGCTGTTACTAGGGACTTCTGTTTATTTCCAAGAAAAGGTCTTGCTGACATGTGTATGCGAAGAAGTTACTTCCACTCCTTAGGATTTGCCGGGTGGCTATTGTTATTTTGATTTTCCAGTTCTACGACATGTGTGCTCTGTGATTTTTAGATAAGTTGCTTAACTTCTCTGTGCTTCGTTTACCTAATTTGTATTTTTTAAAATGACACATAAACATGGTCCATATTTACAAAGAACCATGTGATGTTTGACGTATATACATATACGTCATATATATAGACTCCATACATATATATAATATATATATACTCCATACATATCTATAATATAGTGTCATCTTCGAATCACAGAGAGCACGTCCATCTCTTCAAACCATTATCATTTCTTTCTCTTTTTTTTTTTTTTGACAGGCAGAGTGGACAGTGAGAGAGAGAGACAGAGAGAAAGGTCTTCCTTTGCCGTTGGTTCACCCTCCAATGGCCGCCGCGGCTGGCGCGCTGCGGCCAGCGCACCGCGCTGATCCGATGGCAGGAGCCAGGAGCCAGGTGCTTTTCCTGGTCTCCCATGGGGTGCAGGGCCCAAGCACCTGGGCCATCCTCCACTGCACTCCCTGGCCACAGCAGAGAGCTGGCCTGGAAGAGGGGCAACCGGGACAGAATCCGGCGCCCCAACCGGGACTAGAACCCGGTGTGCCGGCGCCGCTAGGCGGAGGATTAGCCTAGTGAGCCGCGGCGCTGGCCCAAACCATTATCATTTCTTTGTGGTGAAAACATTCAAAATCCTTTCTGCCTTTCTGATATCTTTTTTTAAAAAAAGATTTATTTATTTATTTATTTGAAAGGCAGAGTTACATAGAGGCAGAGAGAGAGAGAGAGAGAGAGAGAAGTCTTCCATCCACAGTGCTGGATTGTGGATGGAAGTGCTGGCATCCCATATAGGCACTGGTTTGAGTCCTGGCTGCTCCACTTCCAATCCAATCCAGCTCTCTGCGATGGCCTGGGAAAGCAGTGGAAATGGCCCAAGTGCTTGGGCCCCTGCACCTGCATGGGAGACCTGAAAGAAGCTCCTGGCTCCTGGCTTCGGATCAGCACAGATCCGGTTGTTGCAGCCATTTGGGGAGTGAACCAGTGGATGGAAGACCTCTCTCTCTGCCTCTGCCTCTCTATAACTTTGCCTTTCAAATAAATAAATAAATATATATTTTTTAAAGATACCATTTGGGACACCTGTATCCCACATTAGAGTGCCTGGGTTCCAGTCCCAACTCTGCTGTTAGGTCTAGCTTTCTGCTAATTTATACTCTTGGAGCAAAAGGTACTGGCTCAAGTAGTCGAGTCCCTGCTACCCATGTGGGCGACCTGGATTGAGAGCCTAGATCTTGTTTTCAGTCTGGCTGACCCTGCCATTGCAGGCTTTTGAGGGAGTGAATCTGCGAGTGAGAACTTACCTCTTTGTCATCTCTGCATACCAAATAAATAAATAATCTTTTAAAGGTTCATGAAAAGTTCCTATTATGAAGAAACTATGTGTGTATTTTTCTTTGAACTTTTTGGAGGATGTGTGTCCTCACATGTTATTTCACATGTCTGTCCACTAGAGGGTCCAGCACCAATATCACCTGCTAGCAAGGGCATATCTAGTGCCCTGGGCTTGTCAGTACTCTCCTCCCATGAAAGGGATCAGGGCTCTCTAGAGAAATGGCAGGGCTGTGGCAGGGAGGTGCAAGATGAGTCTGGAGTATGTCATGAGGTCATAAAGTAAGCAACTGCTTGAAAAATTATTTAAGTATGTCAAAAGGTCACAAGAAGCCAACTTGAAGGCCAGTTTGGGGACAATATGAACAACATATTGAAAAATGATAGTAACAGATTATTAACTCATAGGTATCCATGAGCCCATACATACATAAATAAGTAATTGAACAAGCCGGCGCCGTGGCTCAATAGGCTAATCCTCCACCTTGCGGCGCCGGCACACCGGGTTCTAGTCCCGGTTGGGGCGCCGGATTCTGTCCCGGTTGCCCTTCTTCCAGGCCAGCTCTCTGCTATGGCCAGGGAGTGCAGTGGAGGATGGCCCAGGTGCTTGGGCCCTGCACCCCATGGGAGACCAGGAAAAGCACCTGGATCCTGGCTCCTGCCAGGATCAGCGCGGTGCGCCGGCTGCAGCGGCGGCCATTGGAGGGTGAACCAGCGGCAAAAGGAAGACCTTTCTCTCTGTCTCTCTCTCTCACTGTCCACTCTGCCTGTCAAAAAAAAAAAAATAAAATAAAAAAAGACCTTTAAAAAAAAAAAATAAGTAATTGAACAAGTAAATAAATGAGACAGAAGGAATATGTTTTCCTTACAGTAAAATTCCAATGAATAAATATAGAAGGAATTATGGAAATAGAAAATCACTAATTGGTTAATACCACAGGCCATAATAATTACGTGTAGGCAAGAATCATCAGTGAATTCTATAAATTAATGGGTAAAATTATAATGAAAAGAAATAGATTTTTTTTATTTGACAGGTAGAGTTATAGACAGTGAGAGAGAGAGACAGAGAGAAAGGTCTTCCTTCCATTGGTTCACCCCCCAAATGGCCGCTACGGCTGGCACTGCGCCAATCTGAAGCCAGGAGCCAGATGCCTCCTCCTGGTCTCCCATGTGGGTGCAGGGGCTCAAGTGCTCGGGCCATCCTCCACTGCCCTCCCGAGCCACAGCAGAGAGCTGGACTGGAAGAGGAGCAACCGAAACTAGAACCCGGTGCCCATATGGGGATGCCGGCGCTGCAGGCGGAGGATTAACCAAGTGAGCCATGGCGCCAGCCCCAAGAAATAGATGATTTGTATATCAAAGTTTCTCTCCACATGACACTTACTAATTACAGTGGGGGAAATAATAACTTTAGGGCCTGGCAGACATCTCCTGAACCAAGTGCTCAGAGTCAACCAGTAACATGAGGATATACCGGTGTTGTGGTATTCTTGCCAAAAATATATCAGACAAGCCCCAACTGCGTGACTTTCTACAAAATCACTGACTGATCTTCTTTAAAAGAGTCAAGGTCATGAAAGACAAGGGAAAATTGAGAAACTACCCTGGGTTGGAGAAGACTGAAGAGACAGGTCAGTGTTATTCAGTACCGACTCTGGGGTTGGACCCTGGTGCAGTCAGAGGCCATTAATGTGGGACGATGAGCAAAATTTGAATAATTTTGCATTAGTTCATGCTATTGTATCAATGCCAGTTTCCTGGTTTTGATAATCATGTTACGGTTACGTAAGATGTTATTTGAAAACAATTGCATGAAGGATAATCTACTGGAACTCTTACTATTTCTACAACATTTTTGAAAGTCTGACAAATTAAAAGTTAAAAATATTAGATTTCTGTGAGGACAAAATGAGTTAATACATGTGAAGCACATGTATTAGAATAATTCCTGGGACATAAGAGTTAGCTATTGTCATATATCATTTTATAATTAGTAATATAGTTAATGAATAATATATTATGTCATTTGTTTCCTGATATCCTCATATACTGTCACATATTTATCTTTTCCTTTCTTCCTTGTGAAAAGCATATTGAGCACTCATGTAGTTACTTTAAGAGCTATATTTTAGGGGCAGGCTTTGGCACAGTAGTTAAGACACCCCTTGGGATGCCTGCATCCCATATCAGAGTGCCTAGATTCAAGTCCTAACTTTGCTTTCAATTACAGCTTCCTGCTAATGTGCACCCTGGGAGGCAACAGGTGATGGCTCAAGTGCTTGGGTCCCTGTCACCCACGTGGAAGACACTGATGGGGTTCCTGGCTCCTGACTTTGGCCTGATTCAGCCCTGGCTATTGTAGGCATTTGAGGAGTGAACCAGCAGATGGAAGATCTCTTTCTGTCCGTCTCTGTCTCTCTCTCTCACTGTCCCTCTACCTTTCAAATAAAATGCAAGTACATTAAAAAAAAATTGTTAGCTAGTGCTGTGGCACAGCAGGTTAAGCTGTGGTCTGCAGTGCTGGCATCCCATATGGACACTGGTTCAAGTCTCAGCTCCTCCGCTTCTGATCCAGCTCCCTTCTAATGTGCCTGGGAAAGCAGCAGAAGATGGCCCAAGTTCTTGGGCTCCTGGTTCACTCCCCAAATGGCCACAATGTCTGGAAGTGCACCCTGCCAGAACCTGGAGCCCAGAGCTTCTTCCTACATGGGTGCAAGTACTTGGTGTTAAGTACTTGGGCCATATTCTGCTGCTTTCCCAGGCACATTAGCACAGAGCTGGATCAAAAGTAGAGCTGCCAGGTCTTGAATTGGTGCCCATATGGGATGCATCGCAGGCAGAGGCTTAGCTTGCTACGGCACAATGCCGGCCCCAGAGCTTGCATTTCGAAATTGTACTTGGCTGGGATACAAGGCTTTTGCCCAGCCACCATCCATCCTATGGGGTTTGTAACAGTGCCATCTGGTGGCACAGCAAGCTTGCCCCAATTCATCACCCTTGAAATTTTACTCAGTCCATTTATTAAGCCCTTTCTAGGTGGACATTATAGATCATTTAATTTTTTAAAAGATTTACTTATTTATTTGAAAAATCAGAGCTATACAGAAAGAGGAGAGGCAGAGAGAGAGAGAGAGGAGAGAGAGAGAAAGAGAGAGAGAGAGAGAAGTCTTCTATCTGATGGTTCACTCCCCAATTGGCTACAACAGCCGAAGCTGTGCCGATCCGAAGCCAGGAGCCAGGAGCGTCTTCCGGGTCTCCCACATGGGTGCAGGGACCAAAGCACTTGGGCCATCTTCTACTGCTTTCCCAGGCCATAGCAGAGAGCTGGTCGGAAGTGGAGCAGCCGGGACTCGAACTAGTGTCCATATGGGATGCTGGCACTTCAGGCCAGGGCGTTAACCCATTGTGCCACAATGCCAGCCCCTAGATCATTTAATTTTAACAGCAAATCTATCTGATAAGTGGCATTGTATTCATTTCAGTATGATAAAACTGAGGCTCAAGAAAATTCAAGTGAATTGTCCAGGGTTGCAGGGAGAGTGTTAGAGCCAGGATTCGGATCTAGGGCCCTCTGATGCCCATGCTGAGTCTAAGTGTTTAGGTGAATCCAAATGCGCAGTCGGGTTTAAGAAGGATTGGCATGCAGAAGAGGTTCTCAACTCGAGTCCCTCCCCAGGGGACATTTGGCAGTGTCTGGAAATATTTTTGGCTTTTATAACTGGGGGTAGGATTGGGAGACTTGCTAAACAGCCTTGAACTGCTCTCACAACAAAGAACTAATCAGCCCCAAATGTCAGTGGAGCTACTGTGAAACCTGGTGCGGTCTTCACAGGGCAACGTCTTGAGCTTTCATGTTGAGGCATGAGGGTTTATCCTTTCAGGTAGCTCGTATTCACAGAGGACTGTGCTGAGCAGTGTGAGGGTTATGAAAACAATGGCTGGCGTGTGCCCTTGAGGGAGTTACAGTCCAGAATGGCAGGGGTGTGGTCAGGAAAGGCACAGCCACACCTTTGTTACAAGTTAGAATGTACCCGGTTGCCCCTCTTCCAGGCCAGCTCTCTGCTGTGGCCAGGGAGTGCAGTGGAGGATGGCCCAAGTGCTTAGGCCCTGCACCCCATGGGAGACCAGGAGAAGCACCTGGTTCCTGCCTTCGGATCAGCGCAGTGCGCCGGCCACAGTGCACCGGCCCCGGCGGCCATTGGAGGGTGAACCATGGGCAAAGAAAGACCTTTCTCTCTGTCTCTCTCTCTCACTGTCCACTCTGCCTGTCAAAAAACAAAAAAACAACAAAAAAACAAAAAAACAAACAAACAAAAAAAACCCCAAGTTAGAATGTAAGCACTAAGAAGAGAGTCCTTCTTAGCATTAGGGCTGAGCACACGCACGGGAGGGAGAGCTCACTTCTGGTCGCAGGAGGAAACAGTGTTTGGGCTGGGTGCATGAAGAGTTGAGCAGGCGGGAAAACAGGAGCTGCACAAGGAGCGGCAGTCTGCTTTGGGTGGAGCAGTGTGTGTGTCCTGGGTGGTGGACTGGAAATGGCACACTGGGGCCAGAGCTTTGGCTCCAGGCCAAGGGGACTCAGGCCTTGGTGTCTTTTTGAAAAGCTTTCTCTGGGGCTATGGGGCTCAGCAGGTTCCAGAAAACTTTCCTTATAAATGAGAAAAATGTTTCAATTGGGGTGGAACAGGTAAATTTCTGATTTTGGGACCAAATTAATGCTGAGAATGTAGCAAAGCTATGAGGGTACGTCAGATAATTCATGGAAGAATGGAATTAAAAGATAAGCTTATTTTGCTGCAAAATTGAAACCTGTACGTAGCTTTTTTTTTTCATAATAAGAATTTCCATGAACTTTTTAAAGACCCTTTTTCTTTTACCCCAAAGTAGTCCTTGGGGATAATGTGGTCTCACATAGAAATATACACGGGCAAGAGCTCTCTTCTGTGTGGTTCTTCTGTGGAGGGCTGGACCACTTTGGCTATAGTAAAAACCAGGGCAGATTTGGGACTCCTAACCGAAGGTCTGCCTCCCACAAGGTGAGCTGTTAGAACAGGGCTTGGTATGGCTAACGCTTCAATATGAATACTACCTGGTGATAGAGAAGTCCTTCCTGGTTTATTACATTTCCATTAAACAGCATTGAAAATTGTTGGTGGCATGTCTTATGCATTGTACAGAATGTAAGCAAGGACTTCCTGATTTTCAGTGAACCTGCAGCTGCCACAAACACCCCCCCACACACACACCACTGCCACCAAGTTGGGCCCTGGGAGGTTCACTGCTCTTTTGGAAAAGGGTTGAGGGAAAAAGAAAGCTTGCAAGTGTGTGTGAGTGCGTGCACATGTGTGTATGTGTGCATTTTGCCAGCTACACTTACACATTCACATACAATATCCCATATCCCATTTGACTATCACAATACCCTTTAGCTGGAAGCACCGTTTTCTCCTTTTGGGAAATGAGGAAGCTGGCACTGAGCAAGGCTAATGCGCCCCCAATCCCTGTAGCTGAATAACATGGGCTACATCTTAATGCACGTGAGGCCCGATTTGCCACATTTTCTCCTGCTCTCTTCCCCTTCATAGAAAATTAGTTTTGTTTACCTGAATGTGGGTTGCTAGAGACCGTGGGCATCAGCAGTAGCGACAGCAGCAGCAGGAGGGAGGGGATTAGAACCTTCTCTGGGGCCATGGGTGCTACTGCAGGTCGCTTGAGGAGTATGCCGAGTGTTCCGGGTCGGAGACGGCTGCCTTCTTGCAGAGGCTCAGGTGGGGTACTCGGGCGGGCCGTCTGGGCTTTAATCCCAGGGCAGGAACAGGTAAGGTGACTCTGTCGTTGTGGTAAGGTTTCAGATTGGACAACATGTTTTACGGGAATCTGAGAGGTGAAACTGGTCAAACAAAAGAAAAGCAATGTTCTTGAGAACATAAGGAGGTGACTGATAACTTGGCAGCAGTACTGTTCCTTCCCCGGGTCTTTCCTACCTCCCCATGCCCCAGCATCATGCTGTGATTTCCTCCTTAAGTCTTCTTCTTGCTTGGATGTCTTTGTACCTTTAGGTCTCTCTCTCTCTCTCTCTCTCTCTCTCTCTCTCTCTCTCACAGGAAAATGTATACTGAGAGTTGGCAGAACAAAGGATGGCATAGTCTGTTTCCCCTCTGTCTTCTCTATCCCCAGCAGGGGTAGGGTTATTGCCCAGTCCTCCCCTCAGCCCTAGGGGTGGCAGAGTAGGGTCGAGGAGAAGAGGCAGTCCTCCCTCACCTCTGGAGCAGTGGAGGAACCCAGGCCTCCTCGCTGTTCATCAGGAAGGTGCTGTGGCTTAGTCACTACAGTCAAAAGGAGGCCGGCGCCGCGGCTCACTAGGCTAATCCTCCACCTTGCGGAGCCGGCACACCGGGTTCTAGTCCCGGTTGGGGCGCCGGATTCTGTCCCGGTTGCCCCTCTTCCAGGCCAGCTCTCTGCTATGGCCCGGGAGTGCAGTGGAAGATGGCCCAGGTGCTTGGGCCCTGCACCCCATGGGAGACCAGGAAAAGCACCTGGCTCCTGGCTCCTGCCATCAGATCAGCGCGGTGCGCCAACCGCGGCGGCCATTGGAGGGTGAACCAACGGCAAAGGAAGACCTTTCTCTCTCTCTCTCTCTCTCTCACTGTCCACTCTGCCTGTCAAAAAAAAAAAAAAAAAAAGT